AACTCTCTACAAAATTTATTATGATGTTTCTGGTTTGTTGTAAATGAATAATTAGAAAACAACATATGAAATTTAATATTAATTTAAAAAATGATGTCGCCGAATATAATTGAAAAGTTCAAATTGATCGAATTGAATCAGAACTTCCGTTTGACATACAGATTGGAGGTTAGAAAAAATACGTACATGTATTATTTATTTACCTTCTGACAGTATATGTTTTTGTAACGAGTGCCTATTGAAGTTCCAATGAGAAAATTTCTCTCGATGTAAAACTGCCACTGTATACAGAATATTGTGGGCAGTACTGCGTGAAGTATAAGTTAATGAAGGTCGATATAAGCCATGTTAGCTTTACTACTTTAAATTGAACTAATTTTTTACTATATTTTGGTAACAACACAATCAAGAAACCTGTTTACGGCGACAGCGATAAAACGTGAAAGGCTAAGCAACTGTGGGCACCAAAGAATAAATAACACGATAAAGCGGATTTGAAAAAATTTTGAGTTTTCTATATTTTTGGTAGCAAAAAATAAATTAAACTTTTTAATTTAAATTTCTCAGTTTTTAAATTTACCATTTACAGTAAATAAAATTAGTATCTTAAATTAAATCATTTAAATCAGCCAAGTGTGCACTATCTTACAAAACCGTTTAATCAAAATGTCAATATTCGAATAAAAAAATATAAAGTTGATAACTGTGGATCTCAAATCTGGCTCCCAAAAAAACACAAAACCTAAAAATTTGTCTCATTTGAGTATTGGTTTATTCAGCCCTGGTTTATTTTGTCAGCACATTCGAATGATTCAGCGTGAGTAATATATTTAAATTTTGCAAAAATTCTTGTGTTGAATGGGGCGGTTAAATTCATAATATTAAATTTTATTTGGGCAACATCTTAATCGACTTGCAGAGCAGGTTGACACGATAAAATAGTCATCATATGAATTAGTTAAATTAATCGTTTCAATTTTAATTATATTTTTGGAATCTAAAATTTGATAACCGAGCTGAAACTTTTGTCTCAGTAGGTAGATGGTAGTTGATAATAAATAAAAGTTTTGCGACTCTTGAAATTTAACTTCACCGACAGTTTATGCATCTAATTTTTTTTTTGTTATTTTAAAAGAAAATAAACAAAACCATCTTGAGAAGATTTTTATTGAATGACAGTGAAACAACAGAAGAATGTAAATTCCACCAAATGGTGCTTATTTAGTTTAAAATTGAGACATCATACCACTATACCATTGTGGAAAGATTAAACTTTCATTAATTGACGACTTGATACGAGAAACAAATAGCCTAAATAAAAAAAGACAAACTAGTGATGAGAAACGTTGTCAATAATACCATTGGTTTTAAAAAGTTAATCATAGTTTGACAAAAAGATTGAATGAAATTAAATACAAGTTATATTACTAAAAATGAAGAATACATGCTAATTCAATCAGTGCTGAATAAATTGAAAAACATCAAACTACATACAAAAAAAACTCTGAGGCAGCTATAACGCGTGAATGGTAGAACAATAAGAACAACTTCGGGCTCAATGTAAGAAAAATAATTACCCTGTCATGATCTAATGAATCCGACGTAACTGCTGGTTTATGTACCTACGGCACACAAAAAATTTTCGCACCAAAAAATTTTTCTTTTGATTTTCATAAGGCCGAGAATTCTAAAACTCAAAAATAAGTCTTAGCCTAATGCAAACACTAACAAAAAATGCATCGTAATAAATCAGACACATAAACAAAGAATATTAAAAGAATGGTCGCTGACCTAATGTTAAGCACGCATTAGACATTTCTAAATAATATAATGCTAATTTTTCTCTCTCTCTCTCTCTCACTTTCTTTCTTTCTCTCTCTCTCTCTTTCTTAATCTTTTGATTTTTTCTTCCGACTTTCTAGCCTTTTAAATTGATTTAACGTGTCAAATTTAAGTAAGAAGCAATAATTCCAAAGCAGTGAGCATTGGAAGGAAATTTACTATCTCAATAAAATAGGCAAATTAATTCAAGCGGTTTTTGATTATTTACATTCTTCTATGCCACTGTCAGTTTTTTATAGCGATAAACGCAAATTTGCTCACAAAGTTAATTTTACTTTGTTGCAATTAAACATTAGTTCCAAAATGGCATCAATTAAGCACACCATATTCTTTAGGTTTCAAACCAGATCTTCAGGCATTAACAAATCAACAACCAGAAACGCGACATATCATTGCATCTTATTTATTATTATTATTATTCGAAAATTTGTATAGCGCTAATTACAAACAAAATGTTTCTCAAAAGCACTGTCTAAAAAAAACAATTGAATTGCTACGATAAACTAAATCTTATAATGAAAACAAAAATGATTTCAATAATTTCTTGAACAGTTTTTCTGTCAGTTCGGGCTGTCTTAGATAATTTGGTAGACTATTCCAAACGGCTGGTCCAAATACTGAGAAACTTCTCTCAGCCATTTTCAAGTTGGTTTGGGGCACACATAACAAGTTGCTATCATCAGACCTTAAGCAGACAGTTTTAAAAGACAGTTGTTTCGGTGCATGCATTTCTTTCAAATAAACTGGCGCCATTCCCTTCATACATTTGAACATGATTGTTGATATTTTGAACAAAATTCTTTTTTTGACTACCAACCAGTGCAGTTCTTTGAATATCGGAGTAACATGGTCAAACTTTTTTGCACCAACCACGATCTTAGCTGCCCGATTCTGAGTTGACTGAAGCACAGATAACGATTTTTCATGCAAACCATAAAATAGGCTGTTGCAGTAATCAAGTCTAGAATGAATAAACGAATGCACTAAACTTTGAATAGCATCTTTGGTTAAGCTTTTGCGAATTATTTTTAATTTTCGCAGTTGTAGGGTTGCAGTACCAGATAAAAACTTGATATGTTCAGTCATTGCCAGTCTAGAATCAAAAATGACACCCAAGTTTGTAGCTTTGGGAATGAAGTTTATATTTGAGCCCTCAATGATAACTGAATTAATTTTAATTCTAGACAGCTGTTGCCAAGTTCCAACCAGAGGAATTTGCGTCTTACTTTGATTGAGCTTAAGACGATTATTTGCCATCTATTTCTCGATCTCGACCAAACATTTAACAAAACGATCAACTGCATGATGAAAGTTGCTAAAGGATTCTGTGGCAAAAAGCTGAATATCACCTGCAAATGCATGACACTCCAAACCATGTAATCCGATCGCTTCAATAATTTCAGTGGTGTAAAGAATAAACAAGATCGGTCCGAGAACCGAGCCCTGTGGAACACCAAATCTTATCGTTTGAACCGAAGAGGTCTTATTCTTGTAGATTAACTGCTGAGTTCTGTTTGTTAAGTACGGCCGAAACCATTGTTCGACAGAGCCAGTTATTCCAAATCTATGACTAAGACGTTTTAGAAGAATGCAATGGTCGACACAGTCAAATGCCGAACTCATATCTAAGAATCCAAGAAGAGTTGGTTTACTGTTGTTTATATTTTCATGCAACTTAGATAACACATGCAACAAAGCAGTTTCGGTAGAATGATGTCTTCTATAACCTAACTGATATACCGGTAACAAATTGTTTTTATCTAAGTGTTTCATAAGCTCCTTAGAAACTAATCTTTCAATTAATTTTGACAAAAACGACAGATTTGAAACCGGTCTATAATTATTAAGATCAGAATTGTCTAATTTTTCTTTTTCAAAAGAGGAAAAGTTGTAGCATGCTTTGACATAGCCGGAAACTCACCAGTACGTAAACATAAGTTTATAAAATCAGTCAAATATTTTGAAAACAATCCTACATATTTTTTGAAAAAGTGTGAAGGAACACAATCTAGTGAACATGTTTTAGATGGAGAGTTCAAAACTGCTTCAACAATTTCGCTTTCGTCATAAACAGGAAAAACTGAAAACAAGTTGCTGCAGCAGACGCCAAGTGAATGATTAAACTTCTCATCATACACCATCGATTCTCGTACATTTTTAATTTTGTCATAAAAGAATGTAGCAAAATCGTTAGCTTCAAAATTGGTAGATGAATTTGAAGTTTTTTTCTTTGCACAACAGTTTATTTACCACAGTCCAAATTTTTTTAGGATTTTTGTTATTTTCAAAAATTATATTTTTCCAAAACTATTTTTTTGTGGGTGAATAAAATATTTTTTGATCGCAAAGCATTTTTCCACACCTCCCTATCATGATGATTTAAAGTCTTTCTGTACTTTCTTTCCATTTTTCTACGGTATGCCTTGGACATTGAACAATCTCCATCAAACCACGGCGTCAACGAATCATCTCGACTTTCAATTCAACCACATGTTCTGGAGCTATTTAGTGATGGATGATGTCATCTCATAATCGTAGTTTTAAAAACATGATTTCAAATATTACAAACATAAATTAGAGCAATGTTATTATGCAAATTAAAACATTTTCATCTTATTTTACCAAATCTACATTATTCATCAAATATTTTATCCGGAAAAATTTGGATTTAAATGTTAACGAACACATTTACTTATTATTGTTTCCAATCAGCCTTTTAAACAACTTGTCCCAAATAGAACACTTTATTTTTGATTTTGTTTAGCAATCAAGTTTAACAACAAACGATCGAAACTATGACGGTGAAGAAACTTACAAGACACTTTCAAAACAATTGACACGCCATCAGAACAATTAAGACACATCTACAAACGACGAGTTTGAACATATTTATAAAGATTGAGCATCTTTTATGAAAAACGTGGACTAAAAAATCCAAAATTAAAATCAATTGAGTCGTTTCGAACTATAAAGAAAATTCCATTCGGCTCTCACCTGACGAGCATCTGTTTGATTGCTGAATAAAATTCAACGGTGTGTTCTATCATGCCTATAGCAGAACTATGTTATAAAAATTCCTATACCTTTTGCCCAAACGAATTCCCTATAAATATTCGGCGAGTTTTTCAGTAGCAACTAAGTTTGAAAACAAATTTCAAATATTTATCTGAATTTGAATTTATAAAACCGCAAGAATGAGCTCAGCAACTGTGCTTTTGTTCAGTTTGATGTGCTCTGCGATGGTCGGTTGCCTCGTTGAAGCCACACCACTGCCTCCCGAAGAACTTCAAGATGGAGCTCTGGTTGGGTTTCAAAATTTAATCCTTATACATCATTTTGATTTTTGTGTCATCAAATGTTAGTGAATCAGTTTGCTAACATTTTGTTAAATTTCCGAATTATAGAATTACTTGAAAAGATTTGGCTACCTGAAGGAAGGAAATGAGCACGATCAGGTAAGCCTTGAAGATTCCATCAGAGCAATGCAAACTTTTGCAGGCTTGAATGAAACTGGTTAGCTGGTTCAGATTTACTTTGTTCAATTTATGCAGGAAATGTTTATAACTACAAAATACACTTCAAATTAATTTTCTATTCAAAACATTTTATTGAAACCTCACACAAAGGCGTTCTTGACGAAGCAACACTTGCAATGATGGAGACTCCGAGATGTTCCATGCCTGACATGGACTCAAGCGAAGGCAGAGCAAAACGATTCGCTATTGTTTGTAAGTTTATTTTTATATATATATATATATATATATATATATAATTGTATATATATAAATAAATAAATAAATATATATATATATATATTTATTTATTTATCTATATATATACATTTAAATATAATTTACAAAAAATTTATTTAAGCCAAATGGAAAAAATTTATTTTGGACTACAAAATATTTAACTACCCAACAAATGTCTTGAACTTGGTTCCAAAAGATATAGACCGAATAATTGCTCTGGCATGGAGCGTGAGTTTTATCTAATTTTTAAGTTAACTTAGATTGCAACTTAGGTTTTTATTGCAAAAATCATCGAATATGACGTAACCTTCACTACACAGATTTGGTCTGACAAAGCAAAAAAACTTTCATTTCCTATTTCAAGCTCCCAAACTCCCACCATAAGCATTCGATTTGTGGGAGGAGATCACGGCGACAATTATCCATTTGATGGACCAGGCAAAGTTTTAGCTCATGCTTTCTATCCACAAAACGGTAATGCCCATTTTGATGATTCAGAAACTTGGAGTGACGGACAAAAAAATGGTTATTAATTTTCACTTACTATTAATTTTAATTATTTCAATTTTAACTTTTCGGTCCAACAAATCGAAAATTTAACAAACTCTAACATGGATATGCTCGTAATCACAAATTTGTTTAGCAATTGATAGTAACAAACACTTTTCAATTCTTAGGAAAAAATTTGGCCTGGGTAGCCTCCCATGAATTTGGTCATGCTCTCGGCTTAGGACACTCCACTGTTTCGACAGCCCTGATGTACCCATACTACACTGGCTACAAAGAAATTGTTCTCGACAATGATGACATCAATGGAATTCTGAGCATTTATCCTAACTGAAATGAATTTGGAGATAGAATTATTTTTGTTTTTAAAACATTGTTTGATTTAAATTAATTATAAAATGATAAGCTTTTGTTGAATAAATCCATCCAATGCTTGGTAATCTTTAGTAAATAATTTCACGAGAAAGCGAATGAATTGTAATAAGATTGACTTTTCAAAGGTTTGAAAAAAAGATGGACGAGTATGACCAGCTTGAATGTTATTATTTTGATGTTGAACTTTTATATTTAGGTTGAGTTAGGTTAGTTAAGTTATATTAGAAAAATGAGATTCAATCAATTCACCTTACGCAAAGCTGCGTCCATATGCTAGCGTCGAATCAAGTGAACGGGAAAGATTAGAAGCGATCCGACCCGTTACACCATAGCATGGACTGGACACTGCCATTTTATTGTAGGATGGCATTTTCATGACTCGATCTTAATGTGCTTCCCTCTGGCCTGCAAATATCAGATTATAAAGGATTTCTGCGCTAGAAAAACAGTTTTGATGTCAACACTCCTTACAGTCTGAAACCTGTGGCTTGCCATAGTTCAGCGTTGTATTGGTTTGGACGCGCTCAAATCGATCGATCAGCTTCAAGTTGTTCATTTGGCGTTTTATTGCAAACTAGAGTGACATAGTATCAATTGTTATAACAAAGACAATGATAATGATGAAGATGATGTGTTAATGATGGTGGTGATGATGACGATAATAATATAAAGCAATTATAATGATTTTCAGATACGAATGTTATTGATAATAAGATTAAGCAGTGATTTATTAGTTCATTGATTCATTAGTCATCATAGCAGGCATGCGTGTGTGCGCGTGTGCGCCTCAAATTTTTTACATGAATAAGAAATTTATTTTCAATTCTTATTATGCGCATTTACCGAAATAGCTATGAAATCGACATTAATAATAAAAATAACAATCACAAGAATAACAAATAAAAATAATATATATTATTGTTATTATTTATTTATGGAAAGCCGACTAGCTGAAAAACAATGATTGCGTGTAAGTAACGTTTTTACCACATACATGATTTTAATTAACGAGTCTTTCTGAGTCCTTCAGTTTGAACAAATTTACTTGATACACTTAAGACTTTGCAGGGAACTTTTTAAATCACCAGTGCAAATTAATATACATACACACAACGTATTTTACATACAATACATTGTAAAACAATACAATACATTTATTGTACGCCAAAGCGTCGATATTTGTACATACATGACATACAATTACAATACAAACATATGCATACAACTGTGTTGAATAATGATATAAACTTGTTTATATCCACATAATGATACAAATTCGTTTGTATCTACACTAACGAGAAGGCTTGTGATGTGTTTGAGAGAAAACTATAATTAATTAATCAATTAATTAATTAATTAATTAAATAGCTATTCACTTAAATGAAATGAGATTAAATGTTAGACTTCAGCAGAGACCAGCCTTCGATTCGAACCAGTACACTGCAGAATATTCACGAATGACGTGCATTATTACCACAATAGCCTAAGCAGTTTTTACATGTTGTACATGTTGTATAAACACAAAACACACACACACACAAACACACACACACACACACACATATACAACGTATTTGTATTTTACATACAATAAACAATTTTTATTGTTTATGAGTTTGTGTGAGTGTGTGTGTTTGTTTGTTTGTGTGTGTGTGTGTGTGTGTGTGTGTGTGTGTGTGTGTGTGTGTGTGGTGTAAATAATCTGTTAGCTATCGAAATTTTCTCTGTCAAAGGTTGATGACATACAAAGGTAAACAGTATTTACTAACAATATCTTATTCAATTCGAAATTATGTGTATGTGTGTCTTCCTATGCGCCTGTCTGTATCTCTCTTTCGTTCTCTCTCTCTCTT